AAACCACAATATCTCTAGGAACTATATTCAAAAAAATTGCTCATCTAAGTCTACCAAAACCCATTGTCAGATAGGATACTGGATTGGATTTCGATAATTCTGAATCATCATACATCTGTGTAGATTATTACCAAATATCTATTATCACTGCACTTTAGAAATATTTTTTGCACATAAATCTTTATATATAATTCATTGACGCCAAGTACAAAGGGTTGAACTTGGACCCTGCGAAATCAGAAAAGTGGATTTAGAGAATTTTAGACATGAATGTCCAAAGCTGTAGTTTATCAATTTATTGTTGTTGTTTCACTAATGAATATACTTGACATGTAAAAATTAGAAGAAATGTATGAACCACACATATAGATAAATGCAATTCATTATTATAAAAACTATTAAAAATATTTTTAAAGACCATTAAATTTGAATACTTGCCAATACTCAAACCTGTTCAATGTTTAACAGTTTTGGGTTAAGCACTTTGAAGATGAGGGGGGTAAAATATTTCTAATTTAAATTCCGAAAAAAAGAAAGTCCTGATCCAATTTTTTATATTCTTATTTTTAGAATTAATAGGGTTCGTATAAATTTAAGAGTACACAATTTCGAAATAAAAATTTATATAAATTTACACAATTATAATTTTCGAAATAATTTATTTTCCTAATAATTGCTCCACTTTATTTTGTAATATCGTGTAATTATCTATAGCAAAAATAATGCAATTTAAAATTAATTACATTTTCATAAAATAAAACATTGAAGTGTGTTTTGAATATTAAAAACTAAAGTTAATTAATTATTAACTAATATTTTTAATTATACATATATAACAACTAAAATCAGAAAACGCAAATTATTAACACGAAGAAATTTTTAATTATTTACATATATACTACATATGTTTATATACTATATTATATATAATAATACTACATATCGTGCAGAATTTTAATAGATTTTCACACTATTTTATGTACATGAATTCTCGAATTTGTGCATTTCCTAAGCGAATAAATCACTTTTATTGGATTAGCTTGAAAAATGATTTGAATTTAATTAATTTAAAAGATTATTAATAAAGAAAATATACAAGTTTTTCAAATCTTAGTGTTTTAAGCACAAAAATAAAAATATTTTTTAATCCAAATTATGAATATTATAAATTGATTATAGCACATATTGTATATGTGACACTCCAAGTTCATTTCATTAATTACGGTTTATGTATTTTGTTCTGACATATACGATCATCAATTATTCCTATTTTATTCTAATGAATATATTTTTCATATAAAATCTGATAGGATCATATAACAATTATTTTCAAACTAAGTTTTAGCAATAAAATATGAAAAAAGTTTGATATATTAAAAATAATTGAGTATATTAATTTTCTGACAGATCTATAATGTATATGCTTAATTATATAAATTGAACAATTTTTACACCAATACTCGTATATACGTATACATAATATTTTCCAACCCAAAAATTTTGATGTCCTAAACAAATGTAAGGAAATGTCTTCATAGATTTACTTTTTCTAGTTAGTTCTAGTTAGAAACTAAAAAAATGTTCCTCCTAAAAAAGTGATCTCTTAAATTTCTTTAATAAAAGATCGATCACTTCATCTGGATTAATTGCAATATTTTACTGAATCAAAATTATAACAATCCCACTTAATCTATTAATGGCATTTTCATTTTCTAGTAAAGTTTTTTTTTTTTCATAGCAAGTCGATTTCATAGTTTAATCGATTGATAGAATACCTAAAATCGTAAGAAGATATTTTAACAACAAAAAATTTGAAGCATCCCTATACTTTAACAATTTAAAAATCTCAGTAGATATATCGATCCTTCTTTCATGCTGTGAAAGATCTACTATTCTTGGATTTTACTGCAGGCAACAATATTTTATCATCGAAGTAATTGTCTTCATATAACTTACCGGTTTGATTCGAAAGGGTCTTTAACCCCTCAAGAGCTTTACTGACTACGTTCCGAGTAGTAG